GATATTGATATTTGATGCATTTCAGTCAACGGCATTTGGTTTAATCACGTTATCAATAGGAATGCTTTTATTCACATTATTCTCAATTCATTATCAACGATTTTATATGCCAACCTCGTTTTTGTGTGTTTTTGTTATTTGTACTGTTACTTTGCTGATATTTTCCGATTCATCCGGCTCGTTTATGAGTCCTATCGGTGAACTTGCTACTAGTTTCCAGGTGATTCATCACTATTTATAGCTTTCGAACTTATTTTTACTTTTGTGATTGTTCATGAATCAATGAATAACAGCTTAATCCTATGGATGGGATTAAAAAGACCGAAAAAATCACCATGAGATAATTCTGAAATTCATGGCGTTAATCGCTGTGAAATTCAATAATATCCAGACAGTAAATGAATTGCACTTTAAGGTAGTATTATTGGTCTATACAGTGATACCATTACCGCTATATCTATGCATATTGATTGGGGTTATATATTCGGCGTTATTCGAATTGTTATCAACGAGTAATGTTGAGGATATTGATATACCTGGTTTAAAAGTTATCTTACATCTGGGTATACACCTTTTGGGTGTTCATTTATTCATATTAACACAAGGTGAGTGTCATGCTCTCGTTTACTCATTCAGAACTCGCAAACGAAATACCAAAATAAGCGATACCAACTATCTTACAACAACAGTCGCACTATATTTGTTACGAGTTTATACCTCATTGACAGCCAATCATCATATATAGCGATGATGTGATAGAGCTGTAATGATATACATACTGATATCATCACAGCTTTATCGCGTTTTTCGTTCTTTTTATCCTCAACAAACGAATTAGGCATATGAATTCAATGAATTATTCAGCGATAACTTTTCCAACTTCCAAAATCCTCTAACTACGTACATCGCAATTCCCTTACCTATCTAAAATCTCTTGCATTCATGACTACCTTCACGATCTTGTTCATATCTTGTCCATCCTGATAACTGATTGCTGCACTTCATAAGTCTTTTAAATACATTGGAATGGTTTGCTACCGATGGATTTTCCATGTCATATAATACTTTGAAAAAATGTAGGAATAATGCATTTTCGTGAAGCCTTTAGTATCCTTCATCCATTCGCTCAATACTAAATCTCAACCGGTTTTCATCATTCAGCTAGCTGTGCACTGAATGAAAGCAAATCAAAACACACATTTCTGTATTTCTGTAACTGTATAGATTTGCTGTTTTTGATTTTTACACACACATCATTATGCATTGGCCGTAATAATTCAACAGCGAAACTTTTTTACGACTCTAGTACCAATTATTTATTCATTCACTCCATTCAATTGTACACACGTTTACAATTCAATCAGACTCAACACAAATAGAACATACAAGTTTTAACGATAGTAGAGTTGTAATCCTATCGATAAATACAATCGTTAATAACGGTTTTTGGTGCATCTCTGAAATTTGATTTCTTTTAGTCAGACAACGAAAAACTTTCCTAAAAGTTGGTCAATCGTTGCTTGCCAGGAAAGATTTGGAAATGGAAACACAATTCAAAGATCACATGATACAATCCGTAATGCCCAAAAAGGTTACTTTTTGCTGAATTTTTATTTGACAATCAAAAATCCGTTCTGGATGAGCCAGCAAGAATGTGATGGTTTAAATAGTCCCATACGCATTAATCGTCTTTTTACATCCTTTCAACCAATTTTGAATATGATTACTGCAGTGAGATATGTGTATGTGAACGATTGAAATTCATCATATGATAACTTTTTCTACTTTGATGATAAATTCTCAAATAAACGATGTGACCAAGTAGTGCTGTTCAGGTGGCAGATGAACTGCTGAAGGAAACAGTCGAGTTGCGACGTCCATCAGGATCGCAAGATTCCCACTATCGTACATCGATGAATAAGGAGGCGCGTTTATCATCAGCTCCTTCGGTGCCAAACGTTCGCAAATTTCGTCCGTTCACAATGAATCTGATGGATAATGTGTCGATTTTATTCGCTGATATTGCAGGTTGACAATGAATCAATTAAGTCACTCTTCAACTGAATTATTCTCAATATCTATCTGAATAACGATTTCGTTTTGCCAATAAATATCATCGCTAATTGATTTGAAGGATTCACGAAAATGTCTTCGAATAAATCCGCAGACGAGCTGGTTAATCTCCTCAACGATCTATTTGGCCGTTTTGATTATCTTTGCGGAAAATGTAATCTTGAAAAAATCAGTACGCTCGGTATGGTTTTACAATGATCGTTTTGC